GTCAGGTGTATTAGAAAGAACCCATGTTGGAGCATTATAGTTATTTCCCTTTTCCTAGTTCAAAAAGCACAGGACTGACTTTATTAAAATACTGCAGGAGTCAGGAAGACAGGGAAAAGAAGAACACAACACAGAGCAAAATGAAAACTGCTGTACAGCAAGATTATTTTGAACTTCCATCAGAAGAACATACAAACCCTCCCAGAAAGCTCTGTATGCTCAAACAGCACTGGCATTAGAATTACTATCCTTCAGGAAAACTGAAGTAAAAGTCGCAAGAAAATATGTAAGAACAGCCAGTGGTTTATTTGCCACACAGTATCTGGGTACCAACTGCTGGATTACTCTTTACATCCTTCCCAGCTCCTGGAATTGACAGGGTACCGTAACAATTCATGGCTGCTTCCAATTATCTTACAACAAATCTGACTCTTCCAGTCACCTCCTCTCATAAAAAGATGAGCCTCTGATACTCGTCCCTTAAAATGTTCAGTATTCCAAAAGAACACCCTAGTTTACATTTCCTTTTGCTTGAGCTACTTGCTAGCAGAGAAGCTGTACCTCAGCTACATGCCTGTGTTATCCCACTCAAGGTGCCAGGTAAATTAGCTTAACATCGTTTCCAGGCATTTCCCCTTGGTGATGTTGATAGCCACAGCACACGCAGCCTCAGTGACTCACAGAGTGGCTCGCAGGTGGCACTGTTTGGCCATCATCACTCTACATCTGTGCCTCTGCCACTCCAGCCTGGCTAAGGAGCCTTTCAGGGCACAACACAGGCTGTCAAGTTGCTACACAGCTTAATCAAGAACTTGTTCCAGAACTGGACTTCATTACAGAGACATTACCCTTGGGCATGCCAACAGGCTCGCCCACTGAGGATGGGACATGCACCTACCAGCTGCTGATTTATAGTCTAATCATTCATCTAGTAGGCATACCTTTTATTTTTACAGGAAAAAAGCCACTGATAAGTAGTGGACATAAGAATGTCCAAAGGAAGTTCACCCTGTAATCTTGTTCAAACTATGGTTTGAACCCTGAATGAAGCAACTCAGATGGCTCCCCCTGCCAACATTAAAATCAGACCAGATATTCCCATCTGCCTTGTACTTGAAATCCCAGCAATGAAGAGGCTCAACATTATAGCTACACATTGTGACATCACCACAAGGGATTTAAATATTCTTTTTTCATGAGATCCTTGAACACTTCCAGGGATGGGGCATCCAGAGCTTCTCTGTGCAACCTCTTCCAGTGCCTCACCACCCTCACAGGAAAGAATTTCTTCCTAATATCCCATGTAAACTCTCTACAATATCCCTCTCTATAAACTTGAAGCCATACCCTCTTTTTCCCTCTTGTTTAATTTTCTACTCCATTACAGAACTGTCTTCACCCTACCACATGCTTTATGTCTATGTCAGCAAGAAAAAGAAGGGTATTCTTAAAAATGGTGTATACATTGAATGCTATTCTCATTCATACTGGTCAAGCTGAGGATAGTGGAGGTCTTTTGAAACAAAATACAGTTTGTCCAGAGACCATTGTGGACTATTAAAGTAAACCACGCTCAGGAAACATATAGATTTCCAATTATTTAGGCTTTTGCATATATACTTACAATGACAAGCATGAAGGGCACTGTAAAATAGGAAAGAAATACCCTTGCAGCATATATTTAAATAAATCCAGTCATCCTTTGCTCTGCTATCCACAGTTGAAGCAAACACATTTTTACAAAAGTTGAGGTAATATTTAAGTTTTTTAGAACAAAATAATATTGTTTAGAGATGGCATAGCATTTGTCAAGCACTTAGTACACCACAAGACTAAGACAAGAAAGTGTATTTGCCATTTCTTTCTATTTATGTCACATTTTTATCTTACAGTGTGTAAATAAAAATTCAGAAAATGTTAAGACTAAAAAAAGTCAGAACTTACTACACTAGTTTATGCTCAGGGAGGGAAACACAGGGCTCTTGCAGCTGGTAATACTGGTATATAATAATATGAAAATCCAGCCAACTGCATTTCCTTACCCTGTGCTGAGGATGAATATTTTTGTCATGACAAGTAGTGTACATAAAAAATATTTACCTGCCACAGGCACTTGAGTATTAGAGTACAATAAAAAAAAAACAAAACACTAAGGAATGTGACTGTATTTGACCATTCTGCACATCTGTAATGGTTAACGTTTCTAAGCAGCTCCTGGAAAAATAATCAAAGCTGAAGAATGAAGGGAAAAGCAGCTGATAAATGAAACTAAGCATCTTGTCAAGAAAGATAAAAACGTGGTTAGAGGTCAGTGAAGGACAAGGGGAGGGAGAGAGTGGAAGAATTCTAGAATATTTCTGGTTAGGCTTCCCTAGAAGGCTAAGGCAGAGAGCTGCCAGCAACAAAAACGCTGTCTCTCAAGGAGCAGGGGAAATGAGCACTGACAGGATGTCAGGATCACAACAGGACAGGTGCTTTGTGCAAGTTAAACCAAACTCCTGGACAACAAAACAGCAAAGCAAGTGTTCCCCCGCTCTGCTCCAAATACCTCAGCAGCAGAGGAATTGGAGGAATGCTCTGTGGCTGGGAGATGCAAAGGGAAAGTGCCGGTGTCTTTCCCTCCCATCCAAAACCAAAAGCTGGGCTGCAACTCAGAGGGGCATCTGGAAAGCCACAAAGTCATGAAGGAGTGTTTAGGAAGCTTGGTGGCAGGGCAGCAAGGGGTGGCAGTGCCATCAGGCAGACACAGGGAGCACAGGAACAAGTCACTATTGGGAAGTGCTAAAAGAATGGCAGCAGGAGAGCAGCAAGGGTTGGGAAAGAGCCCCTTGTTTCGAAAGGCACACTGTGAATGCAGCACAGAATCACAGAATGCTCTGGGTTAGAAGGGGCCTAAAGACCATCTCATTCCAACCCCCTGCCATGGGCAGGGACACCTGCCACCAGCCCAGGTTGTTGATCGAGGCTGATGAGGAGCTTTGGAATGAGTTACAAACAGACCAGCAACTCCTAATAGACCCAAACCTCCTTCTGTCTTGCCAAAAGTTTAAGTAAAACCAAACCCACCACCGGATAACATTTTAAATTGTAATTGCTGGCTGCTGTCAGGAGCCCAACTCTCTCACACCCTACCTAAGGAAGGTGAGCCTCTTCCCCTAAGTTCTGCCTCAGAAAAATGACCAGCCCATGGCACACAACTTGCCAACAGCAAACTCACACCCAGCTCTCTTCCTGTAGCACACACCACTTCCTAAAGGTATGTGCCTCTTATCTTCCAGCCTTGCCCACATGGTCTGCAAGTTCCTTTGATTCACTAAAACCACAAGGGAAGCAGGCAGCAGGCCTAAAGTACAATATTATCTTAATTCTTTAGTTAGGAGATCGGACTAGCTTTTCTTACAGCTGATCACCATCACAGATGTTCATCCTCACTACATCAAAAGCCATCTAAAGACAGTTCTCTGTGGTCTCACACAGGACAGCTTAACCCCAAGTAGCCCTGCTGTGCTCTGTATCGAGCTGGTCGCTTTCTGGTCTGTTCCTGGGAAATAAGGGCACAGCAGGGTACCCGATTCGTTATGACAACTTTGTACATTTCATTTTGTTTTGCTCCCTTCTTCCATTCTTGGAAGAAAAGCCCAAAGACTTTTAATTTATGGTATATTTCAGTTTGAAACAAAGACTAAGTTCACAGGACATGAGGGAAGCAGGTAAAGTGCTAAGCAAATACATGAACTGCAGCGAAAGAACACGGGTAGTAAAAAAGAAAATTCAATTTCTATTCAGAGTATGTAAAACTCTTATTAATTTAGTCATTTTCTGCCAGAACTTGTTTACTAGAATGAGTTCTGACAAAAGATTCTGCTACACTCTACCAACTCCTTAAAAAAAAAACCCCTATGTTCCCTTGTATGCTAAATAGCCTTTGTTATCTCTTTGGAGTATCAGGTTACCAATTCCAATCCAATTAGCTACATGAAAACACTGCATTGTATTCAGTGTGACTGTTCTTTGTTAGTCCTGAGCTCCTCTGTGCCACTTCCACTGCTCAAAACACAGTCTCCAACTCAGCTTATTCAAAGTTTCTGTCCTTGCCCCCAGTGAAAACAGTGCAAATGCTTGGATTGACTTGGAGGCAAGGATGAAGCCCAGGGCAAACTTGCTAAAAAAAAAAAAAAAAAAAAAAAAAAAAAAAACCAAAAAAAACTAAAAAACCACCAAAAACATTTCCGGGGG